GAGTCGTGTATGTCATCACCACATATTATATATGTGTGTGTAGCTGTTGCTCGTTGCTCGCTGCTCGTTTTACTCTACCTAATCTCTCGTGCCACGCCATGCTCTCATCTGTCTCAGATCTCAGTGTCACTGTCAGCCCACGTCCCATGTCCACGTCGATCGGTGGAAGTACATAGTACCTAATTTATTGTCTGTTCTTGTCCTGTGTCTTTGCCTTGCCTTGCCTTGAGGTCTTCTGCGTCGGCGTGGCGTGTTGCGTTAGGCGTGATGCGTGAAGCAGAGACCCTTCGAGGAGCTTGAGGGTGCCTGCTTGCATGCTTGGGGGATGAAGATGACAAGCAGGATGTGCATGTGGGTGGTTGGATCGGATCCTACGTACACCTTGCATTGTCTTTCTCATTTGCAAGACAGATCGGCGTCGGGCCCCTTGTATTCGTCTAGGTGTTGATTTCGTAAACGAAGACGTGTGCATAAGTATACAAAGAGCCAGAGAGCTCAGAGGAAGGCTATATAGCCTATTCCTGATATCGATATCCTACAGCGAGCGGTGGGGGGCGGTGACCCCCTCGGAGGGGTTACATACATAAGTACAGTAACTACTGTGCATGGCAGCTGCAGGGCGGCATTCTGTAATTGTAATTCAAAGGAAACTTGGCCAGAAGGAGTGGACCGGGTAGAGGAGATAAGTGGTGGTGTTGATACAGATACAGATGTGGGATGCGCGAGGGAGACGGAGCGTGAACGAGATGGATCCGAAGAGGTTGGACGATATGTACTCAGGACGGAGGAGGGAAGGATAAATACGTGAGTGGAGGGGCAAGGGAGAGCGAAGGAGACTAGGAGAGTGGTTGAGCACGGCGCTGCGAGTCGCGAGTCGGGAGCAGGGTGCGAGGTACGCGGTGTACGATGAAGGAGGCGACTGGAGGCGAGATGGCGCGCGGACGAGGGGCACGAGGGGCAATGAGGCACAAGAAGCAGGGAAGCATGCGCTCGTGAGCCCAGGAGGCAAGAATCACAAGGATAGCCGATGACGAACCTTAAGCTTGTGTGCGCCCGAGGATCCCCACCACTACAGTACCACTACCTGCTCGCTCACTCACTCTGCAACCCCGAGCGAGCGACACACCGTCCCAATCAGTGGCTGCTTGCAAGCCTAGCAGGGGAATACGCATACGCGGGTCAGCTACTATGCAGACACGAGGCGAGAGAGCGCAGATAAGTAAAATAAGTATAACACGGACGTACGCGGCAGACAACCAGCTCGGGGCCCCGTGCGCGTTCATCTGGATCGCCGCGACCGTCGACGCGACCGCGACCGCGACCGTGCCCAGCGCGGCGTACACCACCGACTGCTCCTTGGCACTCGGCGCCTCGAACGCCGGCTCTTCGTATAGGTTGTCGAATGCGCGCATCGTTGGGTGCGGGGTGCGGGGTGTGTAGTTGGAGGGAGAGCGTGCAGGCCTTGCTGGATCGATGGGAGGAGGAGGAGGAGGCTTGGCTTGTCCTGCCTGCGGGCTCTTATAAGTACACGGGCCTTGTCGCTCAGTGCTAGTGCCAGACGCGGGACACGGGGGACGCGCTCTTGTCTGGATTCCGCCGAGATCGGAGCGAGCAGCGACCACTCCGGAGTCTGAGTCCGCGCTAGTAGCTACGACAGCGGGATAAGTAAGGGGGCCCGGGGATTCAGAGGGGGGCGCGCAAGCGGCTAGCGAGGGGCTGAGGGACAACGATGACTAGTGACTGGGACTCGAGTACTGGAGAGTCGAGCTGGGGCGGCGCGCTGGGCGGAATATATAGTACACGTATACCGCTTGCCCGGTGCCAGTCGCCGATCAGCAATTCAGTACGAGGACAGGGAAGCGATGGGGATGACAAGGGACGGTGACCTGCAGGACAAAGTTCACTCAAGCACCGTAGAGCACAATTAGGAAAGGCTGGGCTGCTGGGCGCGAGGAAGCCTATCTCGTATTAGTATCAGTATATACCGTAGTCTGTGATTGTCGGATCATCCATCCCACCTCGTTGGCGATGGCATTGGCTGCCTGCAGGCCTTTACGACACGCCGCAGCCTGGCAGGGCACAAGACGCTCCGAGGGGCCCGCGCTGCCACACACGGCCTAGTCTCACAACAAAAGACTACTCGTGCGCGTGAGTCGTAACTCGTAACTCAGCTGTCTCGGTGTGGTCGCTGTCAACAGTCAGAAGCCGCATATCGATGGACGGGTGGACACGGAATCCGGATGGACACAAGCACTGTGGATAGGCTGCATCCACAATCCACTGCATTGCTGTCAGTGTCAAGAGCGAGAAGGCAGGCGGCGAGATGATGATGACGATAATGGTGATGAGCCCGTCGGTGCGGCGGTGCACGTTGCCATAATCATAATGCCATTGCACGTTACCGCACGTACGCATACATGCATATCGAGCTCCCGGAGCCCGCAGCGTGATTAACGTCAACCGCAACGACGAATGCGATGAACCTTAGCTTGAAGCTTGAACGGTCTCGTAAGTTGTAACTCGTTCTCCGAGACTCCGACTCCCGGAGCGGCGACTCGCGAGCCCTCTGCCTGCTCGCAAATACTTATTTCAATTTGAACCTTGAACGGTCTCCTTCTCCGAGACTCCGACTCCCGGAGCCCTCAGGCCTCAGCGGCCTGCCTGCTCGCAAGTACTGGTATCAACCCCGCACTACTCACGCCGCACGCGCGACGGGTTGGCTTCCCTCCGAGATCGGGGACCGAATGTCCGAGCGCCGTGCGTCCGTCGTGAATCATGATCACTGACTGATACTGGCATCTTGGGCATCTTGACAGAGTGACAGTGACGCTGACACTGCACTGGCAGGACCTGGGCCTGAACAGTGGAGAGTCGAGACGCGGGGCGTTGAAACATATGTACAGCAGCACGCAAGACCTCGGGTCCGAGAGCTGGCGTTTGGCGTTTGGTATGTGGCGGTTGGCGTCGGAAGCTTTCAAGCGACCGGTCGTGCTTCTGTCAAGTTCCATGGCCACCGGTGCGGTGCTTCGTGCGGCGGTGCTTCGTGCTTCGTGCTTCGTGCTTCGTGTTTCGTGAATTGTGCATGGAATCTGGATGTCTGGATGGATGTCGTATACGGTAAGGACGCAGTATCTAGGCGAGTATGCGAGTACGTACTTGAAGCTGTGAGCATCGCCGCCCCCCTGTTATATGTACACATGTAGAGACTTGCGGGAACCGACATCATTGCTGTGCGCCGTGCGCCGTCTTCGATGCTGGACGTTCAACACACAACACATCTCGGGTGATGACTTGCAGGCTCATCGTTTTTGAACGATGGACCGTGTCCGGGGGCGAGGATGAGACTCGGACTTGTACACTTGCATGGACATGAATCTCGCGCCCATCTCAAGACCCAATGTCACTGTACGACTGCTGTGGAATGTGCGTCAGCACAAGCCCCGGTGCGTGTAACACAGTAGGACGGAACGAACACAGACGGAGGACGGAAGAGGGAGGGGTTTCAGAGAGAAGATAATGCCCGCCCGCCCCCTTTCCCCCTTCCCGTAGCCGCGTGGTATCTGGGGGAAAGGCAAGGGCGTCGCAACTCAGGCGCGCACGGCCCATCGTCAGAAAGAGCGCAGCGATACGGATACGTGTGGGTTTTCCATCACCATCCGTCCGTCGAGTCTCGACAATGAAGGAAGAGGGGAGTTCACATAGGATGCAGCGCGCACGTGGATAATGGTAATGGAGAACTGTGACTGACGACTACGCACCTTGCCGGGCAAACCTTCGTGGGGGGCACGTTGACGTTGAGCGGGTGTCTCGCTGGACCTGCCGTCGCCCGAGGGACGGCAGAAATATAGAGTATGAACCGTGGACCGTGGATCGAGAACTAGGTGGACGTCGACAAGACTGAAGCAGCGCCAGTGCGACTTCCACATGCCATATGAATACACGGACGTCGTAGGACCGTCACATCGCAGGCTCAGTTTCACGCCTTGGTAGTTGCGGTGGGAAGATGGCAGATACAGTAGGAAGTTGCAAGAGGGAAATGGATTATGGAAGGAGACGCACCTTTGTGTCCTGTCTCCGGGGAGGCCCGAGAGGCGTCTTGAAGCTACAGCTTGAGCTTAGACTCAAAGCTCAGCTGCAGGGGTCAGGACGAGGCAGACGCATCTTCACGGTCGCCGGGTGGGTCACAAGCGACCTGCGCACCTTGTTGCAATCCTCGAGAATAGATCTAGAGTAAGAGGCAGAGACGGGAAGAGGACGTACCACGGGCATTACCCAACGCATCTGCTGCACACCAGCGGCAGTCCGAGTCTCGACGTTCCTCGTTCAAACTAGTCTCCCATTAACGACGGCAACGCCACCACTAAAAATCCTCAAGCCGATACACATCATACGCGACCTCCTCGTACGGATGGACCTATATGACATGCGCGCAGCGTGCCTTCTGCTCCAAGCGAAATTCACTAGGGTAGAACAGACGCACCTTCCTCAGCTCCTGCAGCACCGCGCCCATCTCCACCGCAGACTGAGACTCGCCATCCGCGTGCGTGTTCGTGCCCTCCTTCAACTTGTCACTAGCACTGTCACTGTCAGCGCGCGCGAGCACGAGGACCTCGACGCGGTCCTCCTCGACGCGCTCGGGCTTCCCGACCTCCCCGATCGCGGGGTTCGCGCCTTCGAGGGGCAGGAACTGGCCTGTACGCAAAGAACATCGACTGCATAAGTAGAGAGCCTGACAGTGAGACGCACCGGTGCCGGGGGAGACGAACGCGCAGCCGCCGTACGCGCCGATGCGGCCGACGTGGTTGGGGAAGCGGGCGAAGAGGTGCTGGAGGACTGCTTGCGTGGAGGGGCGGGGCGTGAAGAAGACGAGCTTGTATTTCTGCATCGTGCTCTGCGTCTGTGACACTGCGAACTCGCAGAAGGATCATGGCGCACACACGTCGCCGCTACTTCGTTCGAAACTTCCTATCAATGTATAGCACAAAGAGTCTTGGTTTGTTGGTGCTATAGTGTAGTGGTTATCACTCGGGATTTTGATGCTCTCTCTCCCAATAATATGTCATATATTCCCGAAACCCAGGTTCGAACCCTGGTAGCACCTTCGTGAGTGAAATGTATATTTTTACTTCCTTGATCATTGAAGAAGACAAGTAAGTAAGTCCGATTACATACATCATCGCATGGCTAGTCTCCTCTGGGGGTACGCCACTTGTCAAACCTCTTCTCTGTTCCCTTCCTCGTCCATGCTCTCTCGTCCAGCAGCTTTTCTATCTTTTCGCACTCATTCGCATTGACTCACCACCATCAAGTATGCAGTGAACACCGCTGGTGGACGTGAAGGATATCGTGGATAGGAACATCGAGCATCGGACACTAACAGCAAGGTGAGCCCAACCCCACCCACTCTCCCCTTCAAGGATGTCCAAGTAAAAGGGTCGACCCCGCCAAACCGCACAACGACGCGTCTCCCCCGCTCCCAGTGCTCTTTCAGCGAGAGGCGTGGCCCCCGAACCCCCGCAGCGTCCGATTCCCGACGCGCCAGTGCTCGAGGTCGCCGTGGCGCGCCTTAAGGCCGGACCTACATCATCTCTTTCTCCTACGCTACATGCTCTTTTCTTTTGCTTTTTCGATGCGGCTCTACGATAGGTTTGTGCGCCCGGAGACTACAGGCGTGCGAACAAAGGCCGAGCCGACATTTTGGGTGCCCCGTCGCTCGCCCTGTTGTGGGTGCGGGTGGCGGGTGCCCGCAGACGTTCGGAAGCCAAGCTCGGGCAGGGAGAGGCTCACTCTGTCCGGGTGGTCTCAGACGTGGATTTATCTTGTGAATTGCGAACGTGATAGTTGCCCTCGCAGGGGGCGCGTGGCTCAAAGCGTCCGGGCTCGAGGACGAGGCCCGTGGCGTGTGGTTCTGCGCGTACAAGTGGCAGGTGCAGGGGCTGCGTTTGCTGGGCTGCGGTGCGGCGTGTGCGTTTGAGTGCGTGTTTTGTTGTTGGCGGGGATATGAGATCATATGCGTGGCGGGCGTGTTCCCGTCCTGAGATTTTTTTGTTTTGGTTGTTTGTGCGTGTTGGACGAGTTTGTGCTGACATGATTTTCTTTTTGTGTTTTTATCTAGGTGAGCTCGTAAATATCAGGCAAGGGCCATCGCCACGACGTGTATCTCTACTGGCTAGCCCGAAGTACGTCCTTCATATGATGGCCGACCAGAACCCGGGACAGCATCCCTATATTCTTCTACGCCGTGTTTCAAGCCAATGTTATAGCTAGGCCTTGACCGGTGACTCTGGTGGTCACCGGTCAAGGCCTGTTATGCATGTGGCCACGCTGCGTTCAGGGTTTGCTCTACGAACCTGTATCGGACTGGCCTCTTCTTGGGGGGAAGCTGGGCCGGGGATGGATCTTTTCACCGTTAGAACCGGGCTAAAGCCAGCACGGGCCGTGCACAGGCCAAGTTGATCGAGGTCAGACCTCTCGTCGCCGACAGAGGTGCAACTTGTGATCACCAGGATTGTATACGAGACGTTCACGTGTAATGAGGACTGGATTTTGAGGAGAGAGCGGCGGATGGCATGCTAGTGCTGGTCGAACCGTTTGCGTCTTCGTCCTGGCTGTCGGTGTTGGACACGTCCACGTCTATCTCATCTTCGCTCTCTTGCTGGCATTCGGCCGTGGTTAGGTGTATGCGAATAATGAGCGAAACTTCGGTGGACAGTGGACATCCAGCACGCTGAATTTGGGACTAGGTTCAGACCTTGGGAGTCAGACCACCAGAAATGGCCGGACTCTTGACGCGCTCAGAGGATTCGGCTCCGCCCTACCCTTGGAATAAACTGACTTGTATGCACGCCTGCAACTGCTGGATGCGATCATGTAAGCATCCTGCCCTGTATGCACGCATACGCGTGCGTTCCTCGTAAAGGGTGCATTCGTATAGGATACATGGGTGGGGAGTGCTGGAAGAGTATACAGTATTGGTGTTATGTTCGTGATTGCCACACTACGCAAGTGCACATCCAGTTGACGCGACATCCCCTTGTATGCACTCCTTCTCTCAATCGTCTTGCTTCGTGGTACTGTAATAAGAACGCATGGTCGCTGAAGCCGGATCTCGACAGTATATTATAGAAATGGCTGCGCTTTCCGGGATCACCAAACTCCTGTTCTGGAACTTCCTCCCCAACCTGGTTCGCTACCTCCTCCCATACATACATCAAGTATACCCCTACGTCTTCGGTCGTCCGCCGCCTAAACAGGGCACCGCCGACTTTGCTCGCCACTACCGCCTGACGTACCTCCTCGTCGTCGTCAGCTATGCCGTCTACACCCTCTACGGTGCCGCCGTCACCGTGGAGCCGAACTATTACCAGATGCTCGGCATTGAACCGACCGCGGACGACAACACGCTGAAGGCTGCGTTCCGGCAGTTCGCACGGCGATACCACCCTGATCGAGTCGGACCGGACGGCGAGGGCTTGTTCATCCAGGTGCGGGATGCATACGAGGCCCTCAAGTCGCCAGTGAAGCGCTTTGCGTACGATAGGTGAGCCCTGCGCCACAAGTCCTGCTGCAGTCCGAGGTCCTTATGTCGCGCAGATTTGGTCCCGACGCCCTCGAGTGGTCGCAATGTTCGACACTCCGCGAATATATCCGCCACGGGCTCCTGCAAGCTACTGGCTTCTATATCCTCACCGTCTCCCTCCTTATCCTCCTCTCCGCCTTGGGCCGCCCAGGCCCTGTCGCATATGTGAGTAGCCCGCAGTTCTGTTCTGTTGTTCGTTCTGACACCCTGTTGCAGTGGCGCTACATCCTCCTCGCCCTCGTGGGCGTGTATGAGATGCTCTTCATCCTCAACCCGTCGCCCGCGCCCGCAGCCACATCCTCGCTCTCCTCCGCGCTGTTCGCGGACCCCACCCTGGGCACGCAGACGAGCCTCTTCGCAGTCTTGTGGCCCCACCGCGTCGCGTACCAGCACGTGCGCTGTCTGCATTCGCTCTTCATGACGTGCTCGTTCGCGCTTTCGAACGTCGTACCCGTGCTCTTCCCGTCGCCGACGCCTGAGATGCAGGAGCACTACATTATCAACGAGGCGAAGCAGATCCTCCTCCAGTCCAACGCTATCTCGCTCGAAGGTGTGTTTCCTCCTCCCGGAGTCCGTTTTCTGCAGTCCGTATGCTGACAATTGACTTCTACACAGCGACCACACAAGTGCAGACGCTCCTCCACGCCGCACACGGCACGCAGGGCGCGACGTTCCCCTTCCTCGGGGAGCTGCCGCACGACCGCGCGGCGGACGACGTCGTGAACGCGCTCGCGGCCGAGCTCGAGAACCTCCTGCTCGAGACGCAGATGCGCGCGGACGGCGGCCCGCTCCGGAGCGCGGTGGAGAATGCTATCGAGCGCAAGATGCGCGAGCGCGAGAGGGAGAGGCTGGGCGAGAAGTCGTGGGACAGGGACAGGGACAGGGACAGGGACAGGGATAGGGACAGGGACAGGGACAGGGACAGGCAGGCGTGGCCGCGGGGCGCGTTTGGCGGGACCCCGGCGGCGGAGGTTGCGTGGATGCAGAGGCATGGGATCCCGGTGGGTGTGGTGAACTCGGGGGTGGATCGGTTTGAGCTGGGTAGTGGGAGTGGGTATGCGTCGCCTGGGAGGAGGCCGGCGTATGTGAGGGGACGGTCGAGGTCGCTTGGGTGAGCTACTGTGCTCGAGCTTGGTATGGTCGACTCGGATTCGGACGTGAACAAGGATAGTCTTATGTGGAGTTTGAGAGATGGGTGATGTACAATGACTACTGTATGTTATTCGAGTAATTCTAATGCATATGTACCTCTCAGTGCGTCTGCTTTACTAGAGAAATTTCTGGAGAGACCATGCATGCCATGTCGGCCTCCCGGAGGTCTAACTTGAGAGTAGAGTCACTTGGTCAAGCGCCCCGATCGAATTTGATAAGACGATCCTTCAAGTTGTAAGTACTAGTACAGACGACTCTTGATCACGACCGTCTCGGTCTATGGCGGAAGTGCAGCGCAGTAACATTTCAATCCTAGTCATCAACCCGAACTCCTCAAAATCGATGACCAGGGGTCTCGAGCCCATCCTGGCCGATCTCATACATCCTAACCTCGCCATACACTACCACACGGGCCCGGAACCAGCACCGCCATCCGTAAACGACTACACGACGTCCGTCCTCTCCGCAGCCCATACCTTCGCCTCCCTCCTCCCACGACTACGCCTAGCTCAGGAACCCGACGCATACCTCGTCGCATGCTTCTCCGACCACCCCCTCGTGGAGATGCTCCGAGAACACACGTCGAAGCCCGTCCTCGGCATCTTCGAGGCGTCCATCATGCACTCGCTCGCGCTCGGGCGGCCGTTCGGCATCGTCACGACGGGCAAGTACTGGGAGGCTGCGCTCGCCGGTGGGGTGAAGCGCATCTTCGGCTCGCTCCCCGCGTTCGTGGGCGTGGAGACCACGGGGATGTCCGCCCTGGAGCTTCATGAGCTCCCGGCGGAGCGGGTGGCGGAGCGGATTGCGGCTGCGGCGGAGAGGCTTGTCGCGAGGGGCGCACGGACGCTCATTATGGGGTGTGCGGGGATGAGTGGGATGGAGGATGCGGTGCGCGCAGGGTGTGGAGGCGAGAGTGTTCAGATTGTGGATGCGGTCCGGAGTGGGGTGACGGTTTTGGAGGGGCTTGTTAGGGCGCAGAGACTTGTGTAGATGTAACAGTACTGTCGCTCGAGAGGATAACGGATCCGGGGTTGTCTACATGGCTCGTGAAAGACTCGGGAGCAGTGCTTGATTGGCCATATTGGAACGCGGCAGTCGTCAGTCTCGGCCGCATTCGAGGGTATGACGTGCCCCTACAGTTCTTCTTCCTTGCCAGAACGAAGTATGGGAGCTATGCGCAGTGGCCCTATGCGGGGAGGTGTGATAGCGGTACCGAGATCGCTCCTTTGTTCGTAAAGCCACTAAACAACGACCTCACATTGAGACAATGCTGCCAAAAACCATGGCAGGAGTTGAACAGACAATTGACGTCTCCCAAGCTTCTCTCCCCAAGGCACTCGCCCCACGGTCAGGAGGAGGTGTCACGTTCA